CCCCCCCACATCCTTAAGGCCCTGCCTGGAAGGATCTGGGCAAAGCTGGTTAAGTCTGCTAGTTAAAGTAAATATTAGTCCTGCTACAAGTGAAAGTTTCCTATTCCTTACTGCTTATTTTTTCCATTTGTTTATTTATAATTTTTTAGGTCTACAATAGAAGGTAGAGTTTCAGATGTTGAGATCATTTCACAACAAGTAGAAGAGGAGACCAAAAGCTTAGCTCCTGTACAACTTGTTAACTTCACTTATCGAGATTTACCCCTTGCTGCACTTGATCTATCTGTGGCAGGGTCCCAACTCTTGTCAAATTTGGATGAGGACTACCAAAGAGAAGGGTAAGTGCGAAGGACATAATTTTGCTTACAAATATGTCATAAAAGATTTTCAGGGTTTACAGAAGGGAAAGCCACAAGATGGAGGAGCCCAGGCAATTGCACTTGTATCGATTGTAAAAGCATCTTTTTCTACTGTAACTATTTAGTTGTTTTCAGTTGACTGAAGAATTCTTCCATTGACCTAGCTATCACCTCTCAGGAAGGTGGATTACTTGCTGCAGTGGTAGAACCTCGCCCATCTGCATATTTAACCCCTCTCCTGTCAGTGTCTACACTGAAGTGCCATAGAGGCACTAGAATTCTATAGCATTTCAAGGGTAAACAAGCCCTAAAATGAATCTTTTGCCCTGGCTTTTGGATCTTCCCTATAAAAAGAAAACAACAAAAAAATACAGAAAAGCTTAGGTCCTTTGTGACAGATGCCTCAGAGTGTGCCACAATGAGATGTAAGGGCCACTGACAACAGTCAGCATGTTTGTGTGTACATTTCCTGACTTGTTGATTATGAATATGCAACACAACTTCCTAAGCCTCTTATAGATTATTTCTGTTTCTAAAATAATTACTTGCTCTGCATAGTTTGTAAAACTAGTCAGATTATATATGCACAATAATGTTGTGGGACCCACAGAGTTAAAGCACTCAAGGAAAAACCGTGGCAGTGGAACCACAGAGGTTGCTGGACAAGAGAGTCCTGGAGGTAGGGAGTCCAGTAGCAGAGCAGGGACCAGGAGTGGAGTCAGGCCAGCAGCTGGGATCAGAGCCCTGCCAGTGGCCTGGAGCAAAGCCTGGCCAAGGGCTAGGAACCTGGCAACCAGGAGTGGAGTCCAATGGGGCCCAAGAACTAGGAACCTGGCAGGAGAGAGCCCAGCTGGAAACAGAGCCTGGTGGCCAGAACTAGCAGCCAAGAGTGGGGGGCAACAACCAGGAGGAAGATCAGGGGATCAGCAACCCCCCAGAAGTGGAGTCTGGAGGCTGGCAGCAGAGGGCCTGGCATTGACCTCCTCTAGTGCAGCAAATTCCCTGGTTTGTGACTGTTCAGAGTTTGGTTGTGCCAGACCAGGCAGGTACAACCTGTACTTCTAATTCAAGCAAGTAGTCTTCAAGCTGCCCTAGTATTTGTTCTTAGAGTAAAGTGAAAAAATATTCTTTCTTATGTTAAGCATTAAATTCTAGAACTTAGGACAGTCTTAGGCAGGGTGGGCAATAATTTATAATGGGGGGCACTCTAAGAATTTGGAAAGTGGTCAAGGGCCACACTCTTCCATATTAATGGAGGAAGTGTGGGGTCTGGGATGGAAGTTGGATGCAGAAGGGATTGGGATTCAGGAGTGGGTGTGGGTATGGGGGGAGTTTGGGTGAAGGAGGCAGTTGTGAGCTGGGGGAGGGGACTAGGATGCAGGAGGTGGCAGATGGTTTGTATTATATGGAGTAGGGGGCAAAAGGTTGGGGTGCCAGAGGTAGACTCTGGCTGGGAGACTTACATACTTGGCTCCCAGTCAGCAGCCTTCTCAAGCAGACCACCCGCCTCCCCCTGCCGCCCTGCCCCTATACAGACTGGAGGGGCCGTGTGGTTTCTGAACAGCTACGAGAATAAAGTGAGGGTGCTTCACCAGCTGCCTGTTATGCTGGTGGTGGGGGCAGTGTATGAAGCCTCTCGTCCCTCCCACAGGCTCACAGTTGTTCAAATAGAGACCACAATGGCCACTTTTCTCAGCAGAGTGAAGGGGTCGGGCAGGAAGTCTGCCTGAGGCTCCCTGCTGCATCTGCAGGCTGGATCTGGCAGCTTGGCAAGCCGGATCTGGCCTGTGGGGGGTATCTTACTGAGACTTGGTCTTAGGCCAGAGAAGTAATATCCTCTGTATTGTTAGCCAGAAACCTATTGATCTAAAGCTTCAACTAGCTTTCAGGCCCGTCCCCAAACCCGCTTCTGACATTGGGAGCTATTAGACCTTCACCAAGGTCTAGGATAAGACAGTTGAGGTACATTAACAGGGTTTATTAAACAGTTTCAAACAAAGTATAACTCTGAAGTAGAATAAAACAGAACTCCACTACATGGAATAGAACAAAGGTAGGTTGACTGCAACTCAAAGTAAGTAATAGGTAAGGACCCAGGTAATCCAGAGAAATGCCTTAGGGACTGTACCATCTCTTAGAGCTGTGGGACCCTCACAGCAGCGCCTTGACTCCAGACTCGGTCTCAGATGTCTGGAACCGCAGGATTAGAACAGCTGCATCCTCCTTTGGCTAGATCTGCTTAGCCTAACAAACCCTTTTTTCCCTGCGCTGTCGTGGGTATAAGTGAGTCCTGACCAGAGAGGAGTGACAGATAGATGTTCATTCCTTGCAAGCGAGTATATAACCTCACACAACCCTAAACCTACAATGTGTGATACTGGCATACCCATCTGCAGGGCTCGCCAAACCGCAGCTAGCCCTGCTCGCCAGCTGTGCTGTCCGGCGATCTGCGTATGCGCAGATCGCCCAAACTCAGCTCTTCCAGGTTGTAATCTACTCGCCACGGGCAAGTAGATTACGTAGTTTGTCGAGCCCTGCCCATCTGAATGACTCCTGACTCTGCCACTCAGATGGGCAGCTTCAAGCAGTGCCCAAGGCAGCCCTTAAATAACCTGCTGGTGCAGGGCAGATTATGATCACGTGTCTGCTGTTACTGGGCAAACTTAGGTCCCCTGACACTGGGTTTCCTGCCAAAACATAGAAAAGGGTGGGAAAAGAAGGGAGAAGAAGGGTGGCCAAAATGAAGTCCTAGTTGTTGTTTGTACTTACAACATGGTGCCTATGCCCAAAATGGTGTCTCAGAGGCCGTGTCTACATTGGCACCCTTTTCCGGAAAAGGGATGCTAATGAGACCAGTCAGAATTGCAAATGCCGCGGGCGATTAAAATATCCCCCGTGGCATTTGCATGAACATGGCTGCCGCTTTTTTCCGGCTCGGGGTTTGCCAGAGAAAAGCGCCAGTCTAGACGGGATCTTTCGGAAAATAAAGCCTTTTCCGGAAGATCCCTTATTCCTGAATTTAAGAGGAATAAGGGATCTTTCAGAAAAGGCTTTATTTTCCAAAAGATCCCGTCTAGACTGGCGCTTTTCTCTGGCAAAGCCCAGAGGCAGAAAAAAGCGGCAGCCATGTTCATGCAAATACCGCGGGGGATATTTAAATCCCCTGCGGCATTTGCAATTCCGATTGGTCTCACTAGCATCCCTTTTCCGGAAAAGGGTGCCAATGTAGACACAGCCAGAGAATTTAACCCTACAGTATTAAGTTTACTAGGCGGGTCACATGGCCACCTAAACTCACCAAAATTTAACATATTGGTCATCTAGTCTTTAGCCAATCCTATTTTTTGTCAGAAGGCTTCTCCATATTGCAGAAGGCTTCTCCATATGATAGAGCCCCAGTGAACATGGATATAATGTCTGCACTTAAAAGATAAACCTGTTCCCTATGTAGAGGGAACACCGCATTGAATATCCCGTAACAGATCCATGGACCTTAGCACAATGAAGAATAGTAATATTTGTATCCGCCACATATCGGATAATAATATACGTGTACAGAGAGTGAGAGCAAAATAACTAAAAGGTTGTAGTCAACCTTCAGTATTACTGTGATGTTCTCATTAAGGTTGTTGGGAGTTGTGCATGATATTGGAAGAGAAATCATCGAAATAGAAATGTTATTGTAAGTGAAAGTGTTAACCATAAATCTAGTTAGTGTTTTAAAATTAGTTAAAAGTAGCTTCCTGTAGCACTTCTAATTTTATGTTGATATTTTCTATTTTATAAAAATGTTGTCTCTTCTATTGGCCTGTAAAAGACCCCCACAACTTATGGGAAATTGATGGGAAGGAGTGAAACTTAGACAGAAAATTATTAAATGCATAAATAAACAAATACATTGAAAAAATCTTAGATAATTTTTTTGTAATTGCATAAATAGATTAAAAGCTCAACTAGAAGTATTGAATGTTTTGGGTTTTGTCTTTTGTTCTTGGCATGTTGGGGAGAAGGACAGGTTCTTTAATTTGTTCAAGTAATGTACAGTGTCCCTAAATACGAAAAAATTATTCTGGTCCATATCTTGTACTGATTATGTGTTTTATCTGGAGGGTATACCTCTGATTTTTTTTTAAACTATTTGTTGCTTCAGTGCTCAGCCACATTTAAAATGTACTCACATTTGCTTAGGTAAAGAGTAAAATAAACTGAGGAAAATGTATAAAGAAAGAGTAATGGGAAGCAGGATAAGAGGAGGAAGCAGAAAAGATTAAGCAGCACAGTAGGAGCTTTGTGGACAGAAAAAATGGTCAAAGACTTGCCAAAAATATTAGTAAGTTAAATATGTGAAAATAGTAAACCTTTATGCTTTTAATTTTTGAATCACTTTAAGAACATTAATTAATGCATTAAACCTTCCCGTGAGAAAGTGATAGAATCATCACTGTCTGCATTTTACAAATGGGGAAACTGAGGCACAGAACTTAAACTCAAACTTTTAAAAAAGACAATTGATTTTTTTGTTGCCATAATTTTTTAGTGAGTTTGGGTCCTTTCCTTCAGTGGGAGCATAATCGTGAACCTGTAGTATGAATTTCAAAGATGCTGAGCATCTGCAACTCATTGAATTGAATGTCAATACTTCCCCTGACTTAAATGGTGCAGGATCAACCTTAGGTATGTTAAGATCGTCACTAGTCTAAGGCAAAACAGCAAGACCTTGTATTTAAAATAAGTCTTCTGTAAACAAAGCTCTGTGGATAATTTGTTTAAAACTTTCCTGTATATCGCTTAATGATTTTTTTTTCAGTGTTCTTGACACACTTCCCCAGGCATGAACTCTAGAATTAAAGCTAGGTTACATTTTTGTGCAGGTTCACTCCTCTTCTCAAGATGAAATGTCAGTGCGTATTTATGTAGATGTGATTAAGGATTCTTGCACCTGGATCTCTTGGCCTTTAGATATTTTCAAAATTGCTTCT